AACTGGAAGGGACAGAGAGAGGTCATTGAGTCCAGTCCCCTGCCCTCATGGTCTATATCATTCCTGATAGATGCCTGTCTAACCTGCTCTTAAATATTTCCAGTGATGGGGATTCCACTACCTCCCTAGTCAATTTATTCCAGTGTTTAAACCCCTCTGACAGGTAGGAAGTTTTTCCTAATGTCCAACCTAAGCCTCCCTTGCTGCAGTTTAATCCCATTGTTTCTTGTCCTATCCACAGAGGCCAAGGACAACAATTTCTCCCCCTCCTCCTCGTAACTCCCTTTTGGATATCTGAAAACTGCTATTATGTCCTCTCTCAGTCTTCATGACTCATGTCCCCAGGCTGCTAGTGCTGCGACTTCAGAGGCAAGGTGGTGCTGAAAGGGCAAGTCTCCTTTCCCTGCCCACACAGAACAGCAGTGGTGGAGGGTTTACTACTACTGATGGGCAGCTAGGGTGGTGCTGGCTTTCTAGGGTTTTTTGCATGCTGTCCCAAGAGGAGTGGTAGTGTGAGGACTTGGAGCTGGCTATAGAGGTGCTGGTTCTGGGAAAGGAGTGCTGTGGTGATTGCCTAAGGACAAGTGTTATCATTGCTAGGCCATTTTTACTGCACAGCCTGTGCGGGCTCCACCCTGGGGCCGTGTCCAGACTCAAGGGGGTTTTTCGGGAAAAGTAGCCTTTTCCCGAAAAAACTTCCCCTGCGTCCAGACTCAAGCTGCGTTCTTTCAAAATTATTTCGAAAGAACGCGGCTTTTCTTTCGATGGCGGTAAACCTCAATTTACGAGGAAGAACGCCTTCTTTCGAAAGTTCCTCTTTCGAAAGAAGGCGTTCTTCAATGTAAAGAGGCCGTCTTCGAAAGAGAGCATCCAGACTCGCTGGGTGCTCTCTTTCGAAAAAGCGGATTTCTCTTTCGAAAGATCCGCCTGCAGTCTAGACGCGATCTTTCGAAAGAGGCTCTTTCGAAAGAAGCCTGCAGTCTAGACATAGCCTGGGTCTTTTGCCATCTCCTAGTTAATGCCTGAGTTAGCAGCACCAGGCCGACCATGAGAGGGTGCTACCCTGGAGTAGGGGGATGCTGCAGAAAACTGCCAATCCTTCCCAATAATTTGAGCCTCAAGATTACATCTATTGAAGCCTGTCCTCTACTCCTCTTGACCTATCTGACTACAGCCTCTAAACCCATGTCCCAACCTCCAGACTGTCTATCCCAACATCATCCCTCTATAGCAGTGGTTCCCAACCTTTTCGCTAGTGCGGACCCCCAATAACCCCCCAAACCATTTGCGGACCCCCATCAAAGCCATTTCTAGCTGCAATTCTAGTAGTCAGCAGAGTATTTTCTCACTTTTCATTGACTTATGTCTGTTTGATTAGACATTCCACTTGGGGATGCTTCACTCTGCTCATCAGTCTCCTTTCTCTCCAGCGAGTCTGATTTCAGCCACAGATCCATGTTGAATGTATGGCTAACATTTGCATGCTTCTAACTGTCGTGATTGTTTCATCATAGAAATGTGCCACATCATGGTTTTTCGGACTGCAGTTAATAACATTATTGGAAGATATTTAATTTAAAATTTAAAATAATAATTGATTTGTAACTTAGCAATTTATTTAAAATTTATTTTCTGTGATCATTTTTATTTATCTTTTTTTTTTCACGGACCCCCTGCAATACTCTCGTGGACCCCAACGGGTCTGCGGATCCCCAGTTCGGAACCACTGCTCTACAGGAATCTTCCACCATCCTATTCTGCACCCTCAGCCGCTAAGCTCTACCCCCACACAGACACAGCTTCCATTCCAATGCAGATTCTACTCTCACTCCCACTGCACAGAACAGGAAACTTCCATCTGCAGAAGAATTGCTGTTTTAGTAGGCATTGAAAGCTGATGCTCTGATGCTATTTGGTAAAATTTCAGAAAATGTGGGGTTAATTTTTTAGACTTTGCCCCCATCTGCTTGACACCCTATGTAGTGCCTTAGTGAGAGCTCATCGCACCAGAGCACAAGCAAACTCCACGGCATCTTTCTGAGACATATCTTTACTAGAAAAATGCAGGGCAGCTACTGCTGCACATGTGTGAACCAATGGACCCTGCTTGCTAGAATTTCCAGACTCAGGTGCCTACTGCACATACATACCCATGTGTGGAACAGAGATGGGACCACACATCTTGAAGAACCTACAGAGAGAAGTACGTCATGTCCATTTCCTCTGATATTACAGACTTTGTTGTCTTTTTAAGGCATGTTCCTTGCTTTGAAATAAAAAGGGTGAGGAGCATTTATAGCAATATATGAATTTAGAAAGACCTTCAGATGCCATCCATTGCTATACAGCTGCATTGTTGCAGCATTAGGGTAACTTATCACCCATGAATGAGTATGGTGAACGTCCATTAATTTTTCCAAAATTAGCCAAGCAAGTTATTGGTTGTATTAGTTGAATATTCAAAAGGCCATCTTGTTTAAAGAATAATTAATTTATAAACTGAATTGTTAGCTTTTTAATTTTGTAGTTTGTCAATTAGTTGATGTGAAAAATAGACATTAATAAAATCTTATTGTTAGAGATTTTCATCATATTGAATACTAAACTTTGTAAGACTGCACTGATGGCAGCTGAAGTACATTTCAGAAACTTACATTTGACATTTAAAAAACTTCAAGCCATTGAAGCTGAATATTAAGTGATGTTTTAATATCATTCACTGCTGATGTGCTTTCTGGAGCTGAGAACAGTCTCAGTATTTATGTCTTTTCCAAGTTTACATATAAAATTCCTTTGTCATAAATAAAATGTAAGCATTATTTTGTACATACAGTATAAAAATGTCTTAAGGACTATACTTGGGATGTTAAGGACTAGTCGACTATTGTTAAGCAAATGCTTATCAGATAGTCGACTAGTCAATTCCTTCCCCTCCCCCCTTGCTACTCTATCAGATAGAAGCAGCAAAGTGGGGAGAGGGAGAGGCAGTACTTTAAAGCAACAGGGCCACACGTGGAGCCAGGGATCAGCTGGGGACTGCCCAACTGATCTCGGACTCCAGTGCGACATTTCTGCAATCCAGGGATCGGCTGGGGAGTCTCCAGCTGACCCTGGGTTCTGGGGAAATGCCACACGGCATTTCAGCGGAACCCAGGATCAGCTGGGGAGTCCCCAGCTGACTGCGGGTTTTGCACGGCATTTCCCCAGGATCCGGGATCAGCTGGGGACTCCCCACCTGTCAAGGCTGATTTCCCCTCTCTAGCACGATGAATGCAGGAGTGGTGGCCCGCAAATGAACCCCCAAAATCTTATCTCACCGGGCTTTGGTATAAAACTTCCCCCTAAAAACCTAGATTTTGGGTATAAAAATCCACTGCCACCACCCAAGTAATAGTAAGAAAACCAGGGAAGATATCACTTGGGAAATCTCAGCCCTAAAGTAAAACCAGGACACAAAAATTAACCAATACCAGGTTAATAAAAAAGAAAGAACTTATACTATCACAACAATACTCCTGTTACAGGCATAGTTGGATTGGCTAGATGGTAAAAGCTACCAATAAATAAACTCATGGGGAATTTTCCCATGGGAACAGAACTTAGTTACGAAAGAGAGGAAACGCCATTTCTAAATGCACAGACATCAGATTCGCATTCCCAAACCATAAAACAATAAAACGTAACGGATTTATCTAGACTTTGCCCTCTTTACAGATGGTAAAAAGTATTTTCTTGGAGAGGGGCATGTTGTCTTTCCCCCTCAGTATCTGGAGAGTCAACTGCCCCAGAGACAAAGGAGGGAGAAGCCAAAAATTCCTTTGTCTCAGTTTGAAATCCCTGTCTGCATTTCTGTTGGCTGACTGCTACCTAGCTAGGCACAGTTAACCCCTTAGTCTCCAGGCTGCTGCCCATCCCTCATGGTTATGACACCAGCTGATCCTGGGTTTGCAGAAATGCCGCACTGGCTGGGCTCCACATGGCATTTTAAATTGGCAGTGTAGCATGGAGCCTGGAGTCAGCGGGGT